TCTTCGCAAGAACAAGCTTTGCGGAGTAGCTTTAGGCTGCGTTCATACTTCGCGTCAGCGTACAGCCGCGTTTTGAGCGTTTCGCGTGTATGCCTGCGTGTGCCTGTGTGCCGCAGGAGTGGAGAGTATGGGGAAATAGGAGGGTAGCAGAGAGCTGGGTTAGGCGTGTAAAATTGTGACGTGTGCAAGTGCACCGCACAACCGCACTACACTCTATATCAAAAGTGCACAATTCTGTGCTTCAGTTGTACGGTGCGCTTGCACGCCGCAATTTCACGACCCCTAACCTAACAGTTTGCTACCCTCCCAATTCCCAATACTCTCTAGTCCTGGTGGACGCTGGTGGACGCTCGAAGCGCTAGATCGATACTTATACTTTCCTAGTCGCACGAAACGCTGCTGTAGGCAGGCATACGGGTGCGCGCTAGGTCGATGCTACACTTCCCTAGTCGCTGAAGCTGGCGTACGCTCGAAACGCTTCAAAACGCTGCTGTACGCTGACGCAATGCGGAACGCAGTCCTACAGAAGTTTGCGAGTCTCGTCATGATAAGAACTAGCAAAATGCCCACCCCCTCCTCTCTAGGCTGAACAGCGTCTATAATTCGAATACCGGTTTTTTCCCCTCGTGAGGCGCTTTCGCTACTGGGACGCGGTTTTTTTCTTCCGCTTCACTGATTAGATTTACATGGTCTTCTTTTCAGATCGTTATGCGATAGCTATTTCATGAAACCCGTCACTGCCACAATGCGACGCCCCAAATACATCTATATAGTTGTATTTGGTATGCTATGTATTTCCTATTATTTGTTTTCAACTAGGTAGGTGTTTAACTTCCTTTTCTTTCGTTTTGTTTCTTCTAGGAAAAAGGGATGATTTGCATAATTTTATGTTGAGCTTTGATGGTTTTGTAAGCGTAAATTGATAAATTTATGTGTATTTTTTAAGTGAGACGCAGTTTTCACAGAAATGTGGGTTGCTTGTGTGGCCTTGGGATATGTTTCTGCTGGATCTATCAAGCTATTTATCTTCGATAGCATGCTCCCTGTTCAAGTCTGTGCTTGGTTTCTTGTTGGGAATCTTGGGTGTTGCTTGAGTAGGGGCCAAGTAATGCTACGGGAGAGGACCATGCGCATCGCATTTAGACCAGCGCTCTCAGAGATGAAATAATCCCTCCATCTTCACTTCCTAGGCCTTGCCTTTATCTGCGTTCATACTCGGCATTTTAGGTTAATCAGCAATAGAGATTATTTGGGTATCGATCTGGCGTACAAGAGAACCAGCTTTTTTTCAGCGTTTTGAGCGAACTGGCATTCTAAGCGAAAAGTTTAGTGTAGGTACCGATCGGCGCCCGAAACGCTGATTCTACCAAAACGTCAGTCCGCTCGAAATGCTCATTCACCCAAGACGCCGACTCGTCCAAAATGCGCTCACCGTAACACCGCTTCTCCCAAGACGCTCTGAACGCCAGTTCTCCCAAAAGGCGAGTGACGTGCGCCGATTTGTACCCATGCTACCATTTTCTCTCCTAACGCTGGTTCGCTGAAAAGGATGATTCTCCCAAAACGCTGATTCTCAGCGTATGAATGCAGTGGTACGCTTAGAGAATGGTCACGGGTTTAGGTTTGTGTAGTGCAGACAATAATATGAGTAGCAAAACATTCAAGGGAGTCGTACAACGAAAAACGCATTGTAGGGATGCGCATGCAGAAAGATTAGTGGAAGACGGTAGAATTTGAAGTTGTGAAATATAATGTAATTATGAAAGTTGAAGAGAAGGCGAGAATTTCCTTCAAGGTCTTTCGGAAACTACTGGTAGGTTATGGCTGCCCATCAGGCGAAAACTTCATTTGTTCCCACTTCTCCCTCACGTAGATATTATTTCGTGTGCAGCCTGGCCCTATAGGTAAGGTTCTGAGGAAAGGGCTGATGTGGGTTGTCTACTCATTGTATGACCATTATCTTCCGCAAACCATTGTGGCCCAAATACCTCGAGTCTATAGGTTTCTCATTTCCACGCTCTGCTAAAAGCACATTCCGCGCTGTTTGCATGGGAATGGTACCCTTAGACCATTGCTTTCGTTTTCACCATTTCAAAAGGAGGGTCATTACTAAGATGGACTTGACTGCCCAAGTGACTCTGCCTTTTCAACCAGCACGGAATGTACCTGAAACCGGTTCAAGGGCCTCATTCATAATTTCGCTTTCTCCGATTTCTTCGACTCTTTCCACTGGTGCTTGATTTTCAGGACATTCAGTCGAGTGAAGGAAGATAACTTGTTGAGACCTACTCCATATGGGGACGTTAACGAAAAATCACCATTCATTTTCATAGGCGAGTTTTTACACTTCACTTTCGTATGTTTGTATTTTCTTATTGTCTGTTGCTTGAAGGTGGTGTTCCACGATCAGGCACGACATTGATGCGTGCTATGTTGGACGCGCATCCGGATGTGCGTTGTGGAGAAGAGACAAGAGTTATACCTAGGATACTTGGTCTTCGTGCTCAATGGAAGAGAAGCGAAAAGGTTTGAAAATAGAGCTCCTTGAAAAATTACAGCTTCCTTGAATGTTTGACAAGGGCTTAGTGCAAGTTGTTTTTTGCTCTCATGTAGTGTTGTGGTGATTTATAGTGCGGCGTGGCTTTTTTACTTAAGATTGATGAGCGGTTTGGGAAAACTCCCAAGCTCCCTGCAGTAAAAAGGAGTCAGGAAAAATAGTATTACGTCAATATTTGTGGTAAATTTCACGATGCGATGGGGTGGGGGCACTTTTTCTGGGGATATGTGACAAAACAATCACAAAATGCCGCGTTGGTGGACATGGCGAGCGACGTCACTCCCGACAGAAGAGTTGTCCTGCCTACCCGGTTGAATTTGAGTGTGAGTGGGACGGGAAAATTCTATATGGCCTGGGATGGTGTCTTGCCTACGCTGAGTTTTGCTGCTCCTATTGATAAACCGACCCGCACTGAGAATATGACATTGTACGTCGCGCGCGACGACGCGACAAATTACGGATGTCTTGTCGGTCTTTTTACCTCTCTCTCTCACCAGGGTAGTCCCGTCCCAGGCCTGTTTCTATAGAGCGTAGACGATCGGGACTGTCTGGTCTAGCCATGTCCCCTCCCACTTCATAAGCACCTATTTCATAAGATATAGGTAAGCGATTTGTATCGGCTGGCGATACTTCTCAAGTAGAAACTTTCTTTGAAGCATCATTGAATTTCAGACTTTCACACTTGATTGTGCTCGATGTGTAATATAATTTACCCACTCACAGGAATTAGGCGCCATTAGTTCCTGGACACTTTATTTAATTCAAGTCTGTGCAGCTAAGTTTCTGGGAAGGATACGCCGTTTCGGCCTGTTCCCTGGTGACCTCTACAGAACGTGGGGTCGCTTTAGGGAACGAGTTATCTGCGACATAATAGACATCTACACATGAAATTAACTTTTTTTTGCTTCGTTATTAACAATATCATTCACTGAGCAGTTATTACTTTTGAAACTCGACAGCAGGTTTTTGCTAAGCCAGACGGCTAACGTTTCGGTCGAACTGCCATCTTAGGAGCCTTATAAGATCAAGAGATCGGCCTGCGTACGAGGGTATGGTGGTTAGTCGGAGTGGTCATGTTTGTTAGTCAAGGCGCGATCACTCCGACTAACCACCATGCCGTGCTAAACGTGCTGATCAAGTGATCTTATAAGGCTCCTAAGAAGGCAGTTCTGCCGGAATGGCCTCCGTCTAGTTTACGTATCAATCTCCTAACGGGTCTCGAAAGGAATAATGGTGCAATTTTGCGAGGAGGGGGGGGGCATTATTCGCTTTGCTATTTCCCGTCGACATGTCGAGCCATAATTGGGACTTGAGAAATTTTGTGAAGCCACAAACTGACACCAGCCAAAGTTAGAGCCCGATTATCGAATCTTGTGAAGAGTACCGGTAAACCTATGTAAAGTGATGGAATACCATACAAGTACCGTATACGGTGGTGGCTCGACGAACTTGCTCCAGCTCCACATTCACAGGTATCACCTCGGTGGGACTTGTAAACTAGTGAAGAGCAAAAAAGCCAAATGTTCCCCTCTGTCGTCAAACTGCGCTGGAATAATCATACAACTACTAAACGTCGACTTTCCGCTTTTAAGATCCATACGTTGGCCCATAAGTAGTTACGTTATTTTTCTTCTCACGCAAATCTTCATATGGAAAGTGACAATTGTTTCCAAGGTGTTCCACACTATTTGAGAGATATTTTTCTGCTCTATAAGATAGTGTGAATGCCTTCCCACTGTCGTCGACGACGACCCCCTTTACCAACATAACCGTCGAGCTCCTCTTCTCGAGTATACTCTCGAGGAGGCGGTCGGCTCCTGTAGAAGGGCAGGTGTAGGGGCACTCTTGGAGAGGGACTGCATGCAGAACCTACTCTTTTACTTTTGAACGTCTAACATCAACTGAGGGTGGTGGTTGATAATGATAAGGAAGCATTCTATGACCTCTAACGATCCCTCAATCTTTGGCATGATTCTCAGTTAATAAGGTAATTCCGTAAGCTCTCAGTTGGACAGAATAGGGCATTAGGTTCGATGCTTGTCTGTGAGGTCGAAACTGAAATCTTCGAATCACTTGAACCGTTGTGGGCATTTCTGAGAGAAACATCCTTTATATTTAACAACTAGGTCTGTGCGGTTCTAGTTTTTTTAGAGGTAAAAAAGAGAGGCTGTCGAAAATGCAATTTCGTCGACCTGACACTGCACTTTGAGCACTTAAATATTAGTGGAAAGAGAAATTCAAGAAAACTAAGAAGACTATCGTATAGGGCAAGGAAATTCTCTGCAAAACGGTATGAAACTCAATGGCAAAACTTCTCACTTCTATCGCGGTATTTCGAGTGAGAAGAAAAATGCTGTTACTTGTGGGCCACCAATATAAAGTAATACAAATGCAGAGAAAGATAATAGTTACGGTATACATCTGATTTCCTACGAAATTTGTTATGTTAGAAATTCAGGAATGGAATCGTTTACAACAAGCAGGTGTCACTAATGAAGTCATCAAAAGGGCCATTTCATCCTTTGTCATTCAGGTATTTCAAATTGGTTCTCGTATTCTTTTGATGTTTTGCACATAATCTTCGGTGTCGATGTCCATTAATATTGTGAATCGGCACTAATATCCTTCAATGGACCCCATATACAAAGCTACAATTACTCCCCATGGAGATGAGGGATTTTGCCTAAGCCTAAAGAAAAAGGAACTTAGGCACGATCTTAGTGATGTTATGCGGATAGACGTAGTCCCAGCTCTGCACAAAGATACTTTGAAGTTCTCACCCCCACCTCACAAATTAGGCTGTGTTCAGACTTCGCGATGCTATTTTATAATGGCTAGTCACTCACGGTTCCCTTCTACTCTCCTATACCACCAGGGGCTGCGACTTGAGCCCGGTCGCGTATTCAGACCTTGTCCGCCTGTACACCCAAACTACTGAATAGTAGCGCAGCCTTCAGTTGTTTTTTTTGTCGATTTCCCAGCCCTTGATTGTGTCGGGTGCATAGCTCTCACCCCTCAGCCCTGTTGGTCCTGTTCGCCTGCGCGCTCGGTGTCTTTGCGTCTACTCAGCGCATGCTTGCCCAGTGCTTGAATGAAGGAGATCTTATTTGTGGCAGTTGGCTCTAATCCTTTTCTCTGATATGGCCTATTACAAGGTCATGTTTGGGCCCCCATTATAGCACTCTCCCCTTGCACTTGCGGAATTTGCCTCTTAACTATTTAGTTCAACTCTTGATTGTTCAGATAATTGCCGGTCATGGTGCACCGGCTCGTCGTCTGTGTAATAAGGACCCGTTCACCATGAAATCTGCCTCGTTTCTGGCTGAGATGTTCCCGAATGCTAAGTTTATTTTCATGATTAGAGACGGTAGAGCGACAGTCCATAGCATAATCACGCGGAAGGTGATTTGCCTTTTCATGCTTACTTTCTTGTAAAGACCAAGTTATCTTTTTCAGTAGTTATACTTGTATTCGTCTAGGGTACATTAGTTCTTTATCTGTTCAGGTGACAATTACTGGTTTCGATTTATCCAGCTATCGTAATTGCTTGACGAAGTGGAATCAAGCGATACAAATCATGGATGAACAGTGCACCGACGTTGGCAACAAATGCTTAAGGGTATGTAATTCTCAGATAATGGTCTTTTTTCACCTGCTATTATAGGACATAGGGGACAGGGGAAAAGCGCTTAGAACGGAACTGCACGATATTTCAAAATGGTTGCCAAATAGCTCACCATATGGTAGCAATTGGCCAATTAGCAATCATGAGTGCCAGATACTTACTATTTGTGAATAAGTCTTTGCTACTAATAGTTTGTATAGCAGTTTGCAACCTAAGAACTTGGAATTCGAGCGAGTAACACCTCGATGGTATTGTACTATCTACCCTACCAAAGGTGGTTCATGAGATGCGGGTTGCGGCATCGTGTTACAGTCCGCTAACATTCCTTGTTATTTGGCAATACACTGTATTGTGGCGTCAAATAAAATAGGTCATAGCAGGTCTATGTCTATACCGGCTACTTTGCGGCATTACCTCAGGATGTTCGACAATGGCTTCCTTGCATTTCATGTTTTGAAATCAGTGATTCTCAAAACTGGAAACGGGAGAGCAGTTCATCGGTGTCAAATTTTTCGAAAAAAGACCGTAAATTAGACAGTATGGTGCGGAAGCTTCCATGAAGTAAACTGACTGCTCTTAGGCCAAAGTACTGTGTCGCGTCTAGCAGCTAAGAATACATGGTTTGTGCGCGATGATTTGATTCCGACCTCCGGAACGACATCCGCTGGATGCTATACACTCTAGTTCTCTGCGGACGGTTGGGCGTGTCAGCCAGTATGAGTGTGTCACCCTATCAGAGCCGTTCTCTGCCTTCTTGTTGAAGAGCGCATGCGACAAAAAGTGGTAGAAAACGAGTAATACGAAGCATATGATACAGTATTGTCACTTGCCCGCTTCAACAACTGGTGTAGAACGAGTTTGGCACCGCGCCAAACGCAGCCGCACTGACACGCCCAACCGTCCGCAGCGAACTACAGTATAATTCACATGCACTCATTACTTCTGAAGTCAGCAAGGTGAGTGCGGCGCCGCACCCTTTTCCCACCGTTCATTGGAACGTCCGGAACGATCGATGGGAGACGGGCTGGCCTTGCGCCTAAACCCCTACCCCGAATGACGTTAACGGGAACCACTGTAGGTTTAAATGGCACGCTCAATTGTAAGTGCTAGGCTGCTAGAAGTTTGAGGTGTGCTTTTTTTGAATTTTTTAGAAATGGATGGTAGTCATTCCAGCAGTATTGTATGTTGCTACTGTTTTAGGTGTATTACGAACAATTGGTACTGCATCCTGAAGCGCAGATGCGGAGAATCTTGGAGTTCTTGGGACTTCCATGGAACTCTACCGTATTACATCATGAAGAATTTATAGGAAAAGCTATTTCTTTGTCAAAGGTGGAACGGAGTTCAGATCAGGTTAGGATTTCCACTTTGAATCCTATGCCCTACTTTTTCCATATTGCGCTTTTGAGAGCGTCTGGTCAATCTGTTCAGGTAGTTTCA